GGGGATTTCGGGGTGTCTGTTCAGGACCAGCAGCCGCACTGGCACCGTGCCCTCTGCAGCTCGGCTCTCCCCGCAGCTCTCAGAGCCAAGGGCTCGCTGGCACTGCGGTGATCAGCGGGCAGGGGCACCTGGCGAGGGCGGGCAGGGGCACCTGGCGAGGGCGGGCCGGGGTGGGGCCGGTCCCGCCCCCCCGGTGCCGCTCGTCCCGTCCCCGGCGCTCGGCGGGGATGCCCGGCCGGGAGCGCGGCGGCAGCGCCCGGCTCGGCCAGCATGAAGAAGCACCAGCCGCACTCGGTGCAGGGCACCTTCAGCCGCCTCTTCGGCAAGCGCCACTCCAGCCCCAGCGCCGCGTCCCTGTTCGCCACCAACCCGCCCTGGATCTTCACGCAGGAGGTGACCTCGGACAGCGCGGGTGGCACCGGTCAGTGTCTCCCCGAGAGCCGTGCGGGGTCGGCACGGGGCGGGCCGGGGGGAGAAGGGTTCCGTGGGGGTCGGGGGCTCCGCTGCTGCCCGGCGGGGAAGCTCCGGGAGCGCTCGGTGGCTCCGGGATGCGGCAGCGCCGGTCCCGGAGCTGCGCCCCGAGCGGGAGCGGGGGGTCCGCACCTCGGCTGGGCAGCTCCGGGCGAGCTGAACTCGGCTAAAAGAGGCTGGTGAGTGGCTGTGAATGTGTTTTATTGCTTCCCGTCGCGCTTTCCCACGCCATGTTTGAGCTGCACCTTCCCAGGTTGAAGTTATTTACTCATAAACCTGTTTCTCGCAGGGCTGCGAGCGAGGGAGCTGAGGGTTGCGTATTCCTCGGGATTTATTTGTGTTTCTTTGTGGTTTTAATTGCAATACGGTGCCCTGGAGGCTCATGTAGGAGGGAGCCAAATTAATAGTAATGGAGCCAGGTAGATAGAAGATAGCAGTTTGTGGATGAAGTTTGGTGGCTGTAAGAGCCCAACAAACTCTTCCAAGAGTAAAAAAAAATGGAAGTGCTGCCTGCTGAGCTGTGCAGGGTGAAGTATTGTCTGTGGAAGCAACTGCGAGGTGGTTACACCCCAAAGGCCAAGCTGCTGAAACCAAGATAAAATGAAAATGTGACAGGGAGTTTCATGCAACTCTGCAACCTAGAAGGAAAATTGCTGATTTCTAACTGTCGTAAATCTGAGGAGGACTCAAGCTTCTCTCTGATGTGGTTTGGATTAAAAAAAAAAAAAAAAAAAAAAAAAAAAAAAAAAAAAAAAAGTAAAGAAGTTGCTGTGTCTGCTTATTACAAGCCTGATTTCCGTGGCTGCAGTTCTGCAGTGGCAGTACAAAAGCTTTCTGCTCAGGTGTGGGTCGGGCTGCGAAGGAAAAGCCGGGAATGCTGAAGCTGAGCCTAAGGAGCGGCTCTCGAGTCGCATCCTCCTGGTTTCTGCCCGAGTCCGGCTGGCGGAGGGTGCGGTGCCAGGGTGGCACTGTGACACCTGGCAGGGCAGTGTGGCTCGCTGTGAGGAGGGATCGGCAGCCCCGGGGACAGGGACAAGCCCCAGTTTCTGGGAGGTTTCTGGGACGTTTCCTGCAGAGCTCCGTGCCAGGAGGAGTCCCCTGCTCTTGCTGATCCCCACCTGGGTTTCTCATACAAAGTAAACACAAGTTAAGCAATGTGCAATGGGTGTAGGTTTGCATGTCCCTGACTCAGAAATTCCTGAATATAGTGACTGATGCCTCCTCCTCCTCCTGGGAGCTGTGGATACCCCGGCTCAAACCTGCTGCACCTCCTCCAGGTGATGCAACTCCCCGGGGAGGAAGAAGTTCCATTACATGCTTGGCAAATTGTTTATTTAATTTCCCATGGCTGGGCAAACACTAATGTCTGCAGGACAGGCTGAATGTCAAAAAGTGGCCAGAGCAAGGCCAGTGCTTTGAGCCAGCTGCTTCCCACAGCTCCCAAGGATGCATTTCCTGATCCCTCCTTCCAGGAAACGAGGCTGGCAGAGCTCAGGTCTTGCTGCTGAAGGGCTCCCAGCAGGCAAGTCCTGTTTATCTAGCAAGGAAAACACAACTACAAGCACTTCATTTTACTTTAATTAAAGCATTCAGGGTAGCGATGCTTAGTAATCTAGGATCAAAGTCCTTGTGATCTTTAATCCAGTTTCTCACTGGGTTTACCTAGTGACTTGTTAAATATAAAACTCATCGTTTCAAGTCTCAGAACTACTCTGTTGCTGCTCAGGCTGTCTGAGTCCAAACTCCCCTGTTGCTTTGGCCTTAATTCCTGCTCCTTACTCACTGAATGCGGGGTCACCCACAAAATTAATCATCACAGAATCACAGAGTGGTTTGGGTGGAAAGGGACCTTAAAACTCATCTCATTCCACTCCCTGTCATGGGCAGGGACACTTTCCACTGGGTCAGGCTGCTCCAGGTCCCATCCAGCCTGGCCTGGAACACCTGCAGGCACTTTGCTGGCACCTGTGTCCTCCCTGGGACCCCAGCAGCTCCTCCTGAGGGCTTGGGGCCCTCCCAGGCAAGGAGGTGCTGAAGTCTTGGCAGGAGCAGGCTGGCTGAAGCACAGGTTGATTCGAAAGCTGGAGAAGATGTCCTTTGTGTAAAGGATCACTTGTGGTGGGAGAAGCTTGGTGTGAGGGAGGGGAGGTTGTGATTGCCTGGCAGGGCAGATCCTGCTGGGGTATCCTGGGGTGACCTGGGGGTGGGAGAAGGGAAAAGCTGACGTGCTTCTGGACTCTGTGGTGTGTTTGAAGGTTGTGTGGAATTCATCTGCCTCCAGTCCCTCAGCAGAGGCTGTGCTGCCTCATGCCCAGCCCCTGGTGTGGTCAGGTTCTTCATTCCAGGTGTTCAAAGTGCTTTCCTTCTGTGGCACTCACACAGAGGCATCTGCCCTCCTCTTTTTTCACTAGACTTGCTGTAAAGCTGTTTCCTTGGGAGCTTCCTGCTGATTTCTACCCATCCTTCTTCTCCTCCCTTCCTCACTATCAAAGTCCGTTGCTGGGAACACCCCTGCAACTTTCCCTTCAGTTCCAGCCATTTTGGTTTTTTTCCCCCCTCCTTCCTCAAACTCTCAGATTTTCTTTAATGTCGGTCTCCTTGGCTACGAGTTATTTGTGTATCTCCTTCCAGCCAAGGTGGGGTTTACGTGCTTCAGTATTTCTGCTTGTTAATTCATGCTGCTAATCAGACACAAAGAATGTAATTAAATTAATTTTATGAGCTTTATTCACTGTCAGAAATAAACCGGCCCAAGAGGTGTGGTTCAAGGTGAAAGCACAAGGCTGGGAACCAGGAATTCCTGCTGCCTTCTCCTGCTTGTCCCAGCAGGGCTCTGTGACTTTCTGCCCTGTGTCTCCCTCCATCCAGGGCAGTGTTTTGTGGGAAGTCACCCAGAGCAGTGGAGTGTGGAAGTGTTGAGAAGCACCTGGAATTCCCTCTGGCTTGGCTGTCAGTGCTCAGCAGGGCAGGAGCTGTCCCTCCTCCTGGTCAGATTGAATCCTGTTCCTTCTGAGCTGTTCAGTCCCATCCTCTGGAGCTCAGGGAAGGCTCCCAGTGCTCTGCAGGGTTGTGAGTGCCTGTCCTGCACACATGGGACCTTTCCCTCCCTGTTTTCCACTCACATCCAACACACCCAGGTTTTCCTCAGGACCTGCTGGGCTTTGCCCGCCCCCCGGAGCTGATGCAGCAAATTCCCCACAGCTCTCCTTAAACCTCCACGGTGTCCAGTGTTGTTTTTGCCAGTGTCCGAGCTCAGTGCTGCTGTAACAATCTGCTCTCCCTGCAGGTGATGTGATCGAGGTGTACTACGGGGACAACCGCTTCGGGACAGTGACAGACTCGGGCACAGCAACGCTCAAACCCCGTCCCAGGGTCCGGCCCCTGCTGACCTTTCTGCCCCTGGTGAGTGCCCCAGTCCCTGCTGGGAGGGTCTGGCTGCTGCCCTCAGCCCCCACCCGAGGGAGAGCACAGGGGAGAAGCAGGAGCGCTCTGTGATGAGGCTGGTGCGAGGCATTAGGGAAATAGATATTTTTCATTAGGAGGTGATCTGAGTTCAGGGCTGGTGTGAGGCACGGACGAGGCACTCGGGGGAGAGGCGTGAGCACCGTCAGACTTGCATTTTCAATTAAAACATAATTGCTGAGCACAGAGATGATGGATCAGGCTGGCACTGCAGTTATCTCAGCGCTGCTGGCAGGATCTGTCCCGGGATCAGGTGTGGTGCTGGAGCAGTGCTGAACCAAGTCCTGCTGCAGCAGAGGAAGGAGGTGATGCTGTGGGTGTGCAGGGGATGATTCTTTTCAATCTCTGTATGAAAAACCAGTCCCTGCAGAGCTGCCAGTGCTGCAGCAGGGCTGGGAGCAGGGGCTGGAGCAGCAAGGGGCAGAACAGCCAGAGCAGAGGGCCTGGAGGTGGCTGTAACTCCCAAAGCCACCCTTGCTTGTGGCTGGCTTTGAGGAACCCCACGCAGCACTTTCCACAGATCCTGTTCCTTAAAGAGCACAGTGAGGCACAGGATTCCCAGAATCCCAGGTCTGGGTTGGAGAGGACCTTAAAGCTCATCTTGTTCCACCTCCTTCCACCAGGGCAGGGTGCTCAGAGAGGCTCTGGAGATGTCAGTACCTAAATTGAAGTGATACCCGCAGGTCAGGAGGTCAGTGAGGACAGCAAAATGCTTAAATCCTTTGGTGTTGACAAGGAGATGATCTCTGCTAATGGAAGTGTGTGTGGTAGAAGGATTAACAGCAGGAATGTCCCCGGGACAAGTCCTAAGGGCTGTCACCCGAGCCCTGGTGCTGCTGCTGCCCACAGAGGCACAGCTGGCCCTGGGGCTCTGTTCCCCCTGTGAGGGTCCCTCGCAGAGCTGGCTGACAGCTCTGACTGAAGGAGTTAGTGGGAAAAGGCAGAGTTTGGAAGGATCAGTCTGTGTTGGATGTTTGACTCCTCTGATGAGGTTTGATCATGATTGGATCTGGCACTGACTCTTCTGCTGCCACGAACATACCTGCACCAGGTACACACCTGCAAGGGGCCGTTCTGCCTTAACCCTTTCCCCCACCCACGGGGAGCAGCTCCCAGTGAGTCAGGAGGATGCACACACCCTGCCCTGCAGCTCCTGTGCCTCTGCACCTGGCAGCTCTTCCCACAGCAGCAGTTTCCTACCCCAGCCCGCCTGTCCTGGGCTGTCCCACATGGAATCACAGCAGGGACTGCAGGACAGGGCAGTCCACCCGCCTGGCTCCCCCAGCACTGCAGCTGCAGGGACAGCTTTGGCATCCCAGGGCAATCAATTCCTTCAGCAAACCACCACAAACTACCCTAGCTGAAAAACCGGGAGTCTGGGGGCAGCTCTGCATATTCAGAGAAATTCGTGGCCTCTCTGAGACCCCAGGGTGCCCAGCAGTTGTATTTGGGGTGGCTTTTGTAACAGGCAGCCTCAAGCCTTGGCCATTTAACGGGTGGGCAGGGTGGGCTCCTGAGAGCCCGGGGAGCTGGGGGCACCGTGAGGACAGGCAGGGTCCCCTCACTGGGGGCTTCTGGCTGTTCCAGGGATGAAAAGTGATTCCTGGTGGTTACAGTGAAAGCTTCCCCCCACGGGATCCTCAGCAGGCACAAATCTGATTCAGGTACCACAAACTGGAAATGCAGGTTCCTGGCACAGCACCCAGAGCCTGCTGTGAATCAGCTGGAGGTTTTCTGGGCTGGCCACACCCCGAGCAAACACCAGGAACAATCTTCCCAACCATCTCTGCAGGCTGGCAGCGTGCTGGGGATGCTTTCCATTTCAGAAGCCAGCTCATGACGTGGGGTTGGGTGGTTTTTGAGAGATGCTGAGCATTAGCAACTGCCACAGAAGGTTTTGGTGATGAACAGGCTCGCCCAGTTTGAAATGACACGGCCAAAATTACTGCTCCTCTGTGAAGTGCAGTCTGTGTCCTGCAGCTTTGCATAGCTCTCTCCTGACTGCCAGTCCCTCCCCTGTCCTCTCCAAGCAGGTGATGCATATGCTGCTGCTAATGCAGAGCTCAGACATCTTCATTTCGAGCACACCCCGGGGGTGCTCTGGAAACAGCAGCAATGGATTTCCATAGCAAATGGGAACTGCTGGGGCTTTTTTCTTTGTGATTTTGGTATCTCATTGCTCTGGACAATTTTAACTATCAGTTCTTGGAGTGCATCTCTTGGCCTTTGTCTTCCCTCTGGCTCAGAATCTGCCCTGATGCCTTCACAGCCCTTGGCTTCTCCATCAGCACGGAGTTGTCTGGTCCTTTGTGCAATCCCAGGGATGTGAATTCCCTCACTCCTGGGTCACAGGAACTGGCGTATTCCCTTGTGGTTATAGGGGATCTTTGGTCATCTGCAGGGTGATGCATGTCTCAAGTGAAATATGTGTGTTTTTCTATTATTTTGGCCAAAGCTGGGGCATTGCAGGCTCTTCCACAGGAGCCCAGGTGCTGCTGTTGAATCAGCTCTGCCCCAGCAGCCCCTGAGTCCCCATGCAAGGCAGTGTGTAACTGTGAAGTGCTGGCTGAGCCTGGATGGGGCTGCATCAACAAATCCGACTGACCTTTGATCCAGGAGACTTTGGAATCCTGGAGCAATCTGATGTGAAAACGGTGATAACAGCAGTGAAAGGCAAAGGGCAGGGGCTCAATCATTATCCAGGCTTTTGTGTGCAGGAAATGGCTCGGGGAGAGGCGCGGGCTGATGGCAGGATAACACTTCCTTTGTCAAGGGCTGTTAAGAGCTCAGGCAGCTCCTGGGCTGAGCAGGAATGCAGCGGGGTGGATGTGAGCCTGGGAAGGGGACAGGACACTGTGTCCCTGAGCACATGGATGCTTCCTCCGAGCTCTGTGTTTCTGACATCGTGGTTCCCCAAGCTGCCCCCAGCAGGTGTGCCCTGCACAGGGGTGTCCAGGTGTGCCCAGGTGTGTCCCTGAGCCACCCCAGCCCCTCGGACCAGCCCAGCCGTGAGTCAGGAGGGCACAGGAGAGGCTTCGTGCTGCTGGCAGAGCCCCATGAGCTCCAGGTGAGTCAGCCTGCCTGTCTCACACTGGGTGGCTGTAATTACCTGCAGTGCCCTGGCTTCAGGCGTCCTCCCAGATGTGTAGGTGCTGAATTGCTGGTCCTGTACCAGCTAAAGGCACTGCTGAGTTCTCAGCGTGAGCGTGGAGGGAGTAATTGAGAGCAAACACAAACCACACAAGGAGCAGTTTTCCCCAGGGTGCTCAGATATGCAGGTGCCAGTTCCCCAAAAAGCTGGAGGTCTGTCTGTGACCTCGGTGTGGTGTGTGCGTGCCTGTGGCAGTGCTTGCTGCAGAAAAACACCCCCCAAACCCGGGGGAGCTGCTCCCTTCGATGGGACGTGAATGGTGAGGAACTGCTGGGGAGCCCCAGGGGATGTGAAATTGCTGAATTCCTGCCCTGACCACAGGGAATTGTGTCCATGGCCCGTGCAGCCTTGATCACTTCACTCATCCCCTCAAAACCTGTCAGCAGCAGCTTCCACAGGGACCTCCATATCACAGAAACTGCCCCGGATCCCATCAGGGCTTGTGTGGACAAATTACCAGCTGCTTGTCAGCCCTTTGCTCTGATCCCTGGGTGTGAGACTGACGGCTCTGTTTTCTCAACTCCTGCAGAACGCCCAAGAATCCCATGGGGTGGCTGTGCCAACGCCGTCGGTGCCAGAAGACTTTGAGGAAAAGGCAGCTCTTGGTAAGGGATGTTGTCTGTGCAGTCCTGGCCGGCACAAAGTGCTCAGCAAGGCCTTGGGGCAGGAAGTGTGTGTGTGTGTACTGAGCTCTGGAGCAGACAGTCTGCTCATATATTTTCATGCTAAAGTAGAGTCTGCTATTAATTATTTTTTGAAGTAATTGAAAATTAATTAATTCCTAAGGGGTGAGGCCGAGTGGCTGTTACAGTTCAGAAGTTTTAGACCAGCCTGGCAAGGGGCTGGCTCGCTGGGCAGCCCCTGGCACAGGCCAGGCTGGCTCAGCACTGGTGGAGGGATGCTCACAGGGCTGTGCTCTCGCTGCTCTTGCAGGCTCTGGCTCGCAGCTCAATGGCAATTTCCGGATGTACAGCTCGGTGGGGGACCTGCGCCCGCCTGCCCTCGGTGGGGATGATGTGGATGAAGACATCCCCCCACCACCATCGGTGCCCCCTCCGCCCCCTCCAGCAGCGCCAGCGCCTCCGCCACCCCCTCCGGCCTCGCCGGTCTCTCCACCGCCCGAAATGCTGCCACCACCGCCGCCACCACCCCCTGAAATGGTGCCACCACCCCCTGAAATGGTGCCACCACCGCCACCCGAGCTGGTGCCACCTCCTCCTGCCATGGCAGCCCCACCGCCTCCCGCCTCTGCCCTGTCCCCCCCCAGCACTCCGGCTCCTCCCGACTTCATCCCGCCGGCCCCGCCGGGCGCCCGGGACCCCGCAGCCTTCGGCCCCGGCATCTCCAAGTGGAAGTCGGAGACGGTGCTGAACACGAGGCAGGCGGACGCCGAGGGGCCGCTGTGCCCTGCCCAGGCCGGGCTGCCCGCAGCCCCCAGCCCCAAGGAGAGCCTTCAGCCCAAACCCGAGCCCCACCTCACCTTCCCCAGGTCGTTCAAGGTGCCGCCGCCGGCCCCGGCGCGCTCCTCGTCCATCCCGATGCAGGAGGGCCAGCCCGGCCGGCAGGAGCCGGTCCCCAGGCAGCCTCATGCCCGGCCACCTCTCCCACCCTGCTTCACCATCAGACCAGCAGCCAAGGCACGGCCGGGAGAAGCGGAGCAGAGGAATTCCGGGCTCAGACAGGGCGTTGGGAAGTCGGCTGTGCCCCCTCCACTCAGCCCCAAGCCGGGCTCAGGGCTCAGCCAAGGGGTGAGTCCCGCTGGCCACCGCTCCCCACTGCCGGGCTCCGAGCGGGAGAAGATTCCCCAGCTGAAAACAACCGGGAGAGACTCCCCTCCAAAATCTGAACCTCTCACTGCCAACGACCTGGACCTCCCTCCTCCGGACTACCCGACCTGTGAGGATGACTGGAAGGATGCCAACAACCTGAACAAGCTGCGGGACGAGCTCTCGGCGCTGCTGCGCTCCCCGCGCCGGGAGGAGAGGCCGGGCGCTCCCCAGCCCATGGACAGCGCTCCCAGCCGCGCTGCCAGCCGTGAGCCAGGGCTCAGCGAGCCCCAGCTCGCCAGGAAAGACACGGGGCTATCCAAGGGAGGGGAGAGTGAGAAGAAGGAGGTGCCCAGCAGCCCTCCCAGCACCAACGGGGGCTCTCCCAGCACTGCAGTCACTACCCCGGAGAGCAACCCTGGCACACAGCCCCGCAGTGTGAGGACAATCAGGAACGAGCTGGAGGCCGTGCTGGCCCTGAAGAAAGAGGGGAAACCTGTCCCAGGTCCCAGCAGCCAGAAGCAGAGTGTGGAGAATGGCATCAGCATCCCACAGCTGAGGAAGAGCCCCCCTGACACCAGTGGCTCAGTGGTGCCAAAACCGCTCCCCAGCCCGCTCCCAGCCCCTGCTGTGGAGAAGGATGAGACAGATCCCAAGGACCATGCTGCTCCTGCTGCTGACAAGGTCACAGAGGACGTGAGCCCTGCGCCGGGGTCCATCAACAGCAGTGTGAGTCCCCCAGACCCACCTCAGGGACCGGCAGAGGAGCCCCCCGCTCCCACCCCTTCCTCACCCGCGGTGTCCCCTGCACAGAGCCCGGCACCACAGCCCAGCTCGGCCGTCTTCCAGTACAAAGTGCACCGGGCTGGGACCAGCCCGGCCGAGCCACCCTCTGCCCCGAGCTCAGCCGAGCCCCCCTGCCCAGAGAGCTCAGCCAGGAGCCCCCCGGCCACGCCGGCAGCGGGGCAGGAGGAGGAGCAGGTGCTGATCCACCCCGTGACGGGGGAGCGCGTGGAGCGGGGCTCGCCCATGGCCCTGCTGCTGGCAGCCCGGCAGCGCGCCCAGCGGGGCCGCCAGGGCGGGGACGGGGCCAGGGCCAAGCCACCCCTGAGACTCAGCAGCGCCTCGTCAGACACCACCTCCAGCAGCTTCTTCCGCCACGAGTCCAAGCCCTACTCCTTCACGGTGGTGCCTCGGCCGTCGGCAGCCAGTCCTGCGGGGTCCGTCTGGAGCAAACCCCCCTCGTTCTCCAGCTCCTCGGAGCAGGGCCGGGAGGTGCGGGCGGTGGGCGAGGCGCAGCCCCCCGGCCCCCGGCGAGCCACTGCCTCCAGCCTGCTCCAGGGCCTGCTGGACTCGGGGCAGCCTGGCCCAGCTCGCCACGGGGTGCCCAGGGAGGAGGAGAACGGGGACACGGCGCTGGACTTCGGGATTATCCCCCCACCCCCCGAATTCAGCAACGAGGCGGACGAGGGTCCCCTCCCAAGTCGAGAGGAGAACCGCAAGTGCCCCAGTGTCCCTGACAGCAGCCGGGGCTCGGGCGAGCCGCGCTATTTCAGGTGGTCTGGCTACAGCCGCAGCTACGGGGGCAACCAGGAGCCAGCAGCTCCGCTGCCCGTGGAGAAGAGCTGGAGGAACGGCGACTTCACCCCCCAGTACCCGGATTACAGCAGCTCCACGAGTTTCCCCAGCCACGGCCCCAACCCACGGCCGCTCATCAAGAAGCGCCTGTACATGTCGGAGCCCGACAGCTCCTACCCCCGGGCAGCCGCAGCCCCCCGCGCCTCGGGCACCCTCTCCTACGGCCCCGGGGGGTTCAGCTCCACGGCTGCGGAGGGGTCTCGCCGCCTGGGCCCTGCCCACAGGAACGGCCCCTCCAGCGCCCAGGGCAGGCGGGCGACCGCGGACGCTGCCGGGAAAGCCACGGCCTACGGCGGCAGCGGGGCTGAGGCCAAGTACAAGGGGCAGAACGGGGACTTCTCGCCCGCCAGCGTGCTGACAGCCAGCAGGTACGAGCCCCCCTGAGCCCACCCCTCCCTGTCCCTTGGAATTGGCCCCAGAGCAGCACTGGGGCTCCAGAGCAGTCTCTGCCCCCTGGCTCCTGCTGCTGCCCCGCTCCAAGGGCTGTGCCTGCTCCATGGCTGCTCCCTGAGCGGGGACACGGAGCGATCAAACACATCACAGCACCATCACTGACCACCAAGGTGTGCTGGGCTTTTGGTGATTTCTCTGTTCTCCCTGCAGGCACTACGGGGCCCCCTCCAACACCTTCACGGTCCGGCCCGGGACCCGCCAGCCCATCTCCTACACCTACCAGAGCCACCGGTAGGAGCTGGGGGCTGCCCCGCCAGCGTCCGGCTGGGAAGGGCGAGAAGGTGCCTGGGTTGGTCCTTCCCTTCTCCAGGGCACCAGGGACCACCCCAACCCAGCCTGAAAACGCACTTGCTTGAAACTGCTGTTGGAGAAGGTGGGGAACAAGCCTGAGACTTGGACTTTTCTCACAGGACTGTCATGGAGAGTAGTTACTGTGGAGGGCAGGTTGCTGCCTTGTTACTGAGCAAACGTGGTTTCCCCTTTTTCCCATTTCCCTCCTGGATTATTTTCAGAATTGCAGCCTGATAGGCCGTCTAGGAAAGCCAAAGAGCATCCTCAGCTCTCTTTAAAGAGCATCACCACTGGAAAGATTGATTTGTTTTTTAATTGGTTTAACTCCAGCACATTTGGGAGCAGGGAAAAACCAACTGAGAGATGTGCACAATGGAAGCAAAGCAGTGTATAGCTAAATGTCAGGGGTTAAAATTAAGATTGTGAGGCCAGTGGGATGGGAGTAGAGTTTAGGATGCCTACATCTTAGCCCTTTCTGTCCTTCAAGAGTTTGGAGTAAATCAATTGTGCCTTAAACCCAGCTGTGGGCAGTCAGTGCCTGTCCTGCTGAGCCGGGCTCTGAGCCCTTCTCCAGGAGCAGCTTTGGGAGCAGGGGCCTCGCTTTGCTGTGCCTTTGGCCACTGTAAATGTTTCTGTTGGTAATTATTCCTCGTGGAAGGAGGCTGTGAGGCCTGCCTGGATGGCTGTAAAGCACTTTGGAGGACATGGAGCAATCCTTTTCCTTGGGCTGGTGGGTGCCAGCAGCTCGCCCAGGTGCTGTGCTGCTGGTGCTCCCCCCGAGGGGTCTCTTGCCACTTCACAGCCATGTGACGCCCCCCAAAATGTCCTTGTTAACTGTTCTACTGACACTTGGCTTCCACGTGTCCCATTTGGGGACTGAGAAGTTAAATTTCAGTGGGATTGCATTGATCCATGGGCTGTGGGGTGTCTGCAGGCTCCTGCTGCTCCCCTCAGGGCTTTTCCAGGTGCTGCTTGTGCAGAGCTGCCCCTGCTTCCCCGGGCTGCCTGTGCAGGGCTGGGAGGTGGCAGCAGCCTTCAGGAGGGTTTCAGCCTCCACACTGAGCAGGGGGGTCTCAGGACAGCCGACCTGAGTTGGGAATAGCCAACCTCCTGAAACTAGACACAGAGAATCTTCCTCCTAGGTAAACTTGCTGAAATCACTGTAAGATAACTGTAAAAACTTGTAGAGAATATTTTCTAATCACTGACAAACTAAAAGCACTTTGAGACATGAGTCTGTTTTTATGGAAAGCACTTTCTATTTTCAATGCTATAAATACCACTGGTTCCACTCCAGCCTACCCTGCCTGGCACACACCTGGATGTGGCCTGCAAGCAGATCTTGCTCTACAATTCAGCTCAAAATCAGGGATAAATTTTCCTTCACAGTGGAATTCTCAAGTGTTATCTTGATATTCAAGTCATGTCATTGACATTCTATGTTTTGTGTTACTTCCAGCTTTACCTAATAATTTAACAGCCCTCTCAGCAGCAGCTTTAAAGTATTCTGAACTTTACTTTGCTGTGAATAAAATGAAAATGCAAATACAATAATCAGTCTAATAGCTAATTCAAAGGGCATTTTTATGCCAGTAAGTCACAGTGACTTGGAAGATTTCCATTGCTCACTCCAGCCAATATTGAAATAATAGGCTTTAAATATCTGGGTGTTGGTTTAAAAAAATATTTATGCAGAAAAGTGACTATGGAGTAACTATAAGGACATTTAAGTGTGCCAAGTGTCATGTGGAATACCACCCACCCCAAAACATGGAATTTTCTCCATGCAAGGAGCATCCTGAGCATTCTCATTCATCTGTAGAAGTAAATCCATGATCCTCCTTGAGGGGCTTCAGGGTCATGTTTTGGCATTGGATGAAGTTTCACTAGTTTAACTTGAAAGCAAACAAAGAAGTCTCTCTGATAACTTTGCAAGTTAATGTTTTTTTCTTCTGATACTTTTTTTTTTTCCAAAATAATAAGCTATAATTGCAAATGAGCTCTCAAAAACAATTTTAAGGCTGGGTAGGCAGTTTCAGCTTTTGATGCTGACTTTGCCCAGAAGTGGGGAGGGCAGGGGGTATGTGTGCAATTTTCCACCCCGAGGATTCTTCCAAACTGGAATCTCCCCAACACAAGTTTGTTGGTTTGTTTTTTTTCTTTATAGAGAAAAATGTGACACTCCAATGTTGGCACTTGCTTTAAATGTCACATTTACTATTTCACCCAGACACACAATTCATGTGTAGTTGAAATATGGTCTTAGACACCATGGAATGTCTCATTTCTAACAGACATAGTTGTTTTAATTTAGTATTAGAAGCATGATAATATAAGTCAGCTTTATAAAATAGCCATTGTTTATTCAACACCATTCTGGGACTGCAGAGGGGACTCAGCTGCCACTACATCAGGCTGGACTCTGCTCCCAGTTGTAGGACTGGTTAGCACGCAGGTTTTCAGCAGTGGAACACTTCTATTCTTCAAACACTTTGGACTATCCCCGCTTCTTTTGAATGCATTCAGCCAATTCTGGTATTTCAGTAACAACTCACCATTGATTCCGGGGCCATTGTGACAAAGGAACCACTGTCAGAGCTGCTGGCAGCACTTGGGGACAGTCAGATGTCTCACAAAGTGAGGGCTGCAGGGAAGGGGAGCAGCCCCCTCCTCCTGGGGCAGGTAACTCTGTCAGGTACGTGCATGAACTGTGCTGGGATTGCTGCTCCTGCTCCTCCCTCCCTTTCACTACAGACATTTAGCAACAGAGTAAGAAACAGAACTGAGGGGTATTAGTGGAGCAAAGCACCCTGCCTGCCTCAGCCCAGTGCCGAGAGCAATCCTCAAGCCTGAGTGTGGAATTATTCTCACTTCACCCTCTGATGCAGTGTGGTAATTCAAGTCGTGATACAACTTAAATTATCCCCTGCAGCTGCCTCTTCCTCACAAGTTCCTGCTAGGGGAGTGTAACGGAGCTTTAGCTGTAAAGTATTGAACAAAGTCTCTTTATTTATGAGTGCCATTGAACACTAACCTTCTTGCATTAAACATTTCTGAATGTTTTATTACACGTGTGGTCTGACTTTTTGCTTACACGGTCTGTCTGCTGGGGGACTGAGAAGTTTGCATGTCCTTGAAAGAATGGGAAAATGGAGCTCAGCAAGGGTTTGAATTTCAGCTTGCCCAGGGCTTGGTCCAGTTTCTCTGAGCAGTTGCTCAAAGCCTGTGGCCCTTTCAGTGTTTTCAGAAGCCCAGTCCAGGCATGAAGGGCAGCTGAGCCCCAGGAGCTGTGTCACTCACACCCAGCAGGTTGGGCAGGCTGGCAGAGCTGCTATAAATAGTCCTTGGGCTGGAGCCTTCACTAGGGACGAAACTCTCATACCTGTTACAAGCCCCAACTCGAATGCTGTGCCCAGAACTGCAAGCAGTGTGAGCAATGCAAGCAGCAACACAGAAAGGCTTGGCTGCAGTGGCTGCTTCTCCCCACTCAGAACTGCTGATCTGCATTCTCATCTTCACCCAGCTCTGCCTACAGCAGCAGGCTCTGGGAGGGAGGGAAAGGGTGGGATGTGTGCCTTGGAGCTTTTACTGGAGCCACAGTGGATGTGCCCAAGCGTCCCCAAAGCTTTAGGGTGTGTGGTGCAGGGACAGCTGAGCAAGCCACAGACCCCACAGCATTCCCTGCATTCCTTGGCAGGAGCGGCAAAGGCAGCAAGGAGTGATGTGGGGTTGATTGCTGGTGTTTCTGCTCTGCTGCCCACATGTCCCTGTGCCTTCACTGCAGCCTTGCCAGCACTGGTCCAACAACTCTGAGCCAAGCTGCACCCCAGGAGGGACTCCAGACCTGCTGCTCTTCTGGGCTTCTCTCATGAGAGTGAAAAACCCCAAAAGCAGAGACTCCCTAAGGCAATGAGCACAGCTGGGGCTGTGCTGCCCTGCCCTTGTCAAGGGCAGCTGCTGCCATCCTGTGGCACCACAAACACCTGCCAGATGATAAAGCACTGAGGGTTGTTTAGTCTTTAATTGTAAAAAAAAAGAGTTAATAAATCACCAATGACCTGCTCTCCCTACAGGCTTCACCATCCACGAGTCTTTTGCCATGGACTGTTGTGTTTTGCTCAGCTGTGCCAATATGAGGAACCTAACGTGGCTTAATATCTGACATTCCAACTTTTCAGCTGTGCACAATGGAACCCCAAGTCTAGAGTTTTGGGGAAAAAAAAACAACTTCCTGAAAAGCAGCAGGACCCAGAACCTGCCTTGCACCAGTGCTGAAGAACTGTAGTACCCTGGCATTGAACAGGAATACGGTGAACATTGATTTAAGAACAGTTTTAATATCAGGGACTGAAATCACAACTTGAACTGTGTGGATGATCTCAGCTGGCTCTCCAGTGCTACAGAAGTGGCCCAGTGAAACTTAAACCCAGTTACAAATGAAAACCATCTTCCAAGACACCTTTTTCAGAACCAGCACAAGACCTGTTTCAGTACAGCATCACAGGTCCCTAACAGGGGACTTTGTGGTTCAAGGGGCATTTCTGAGGAAATGTGTCAGTTTTTATCATCATTCACCATTTGTCATACACTGCTGTGAACACCTGTATGACAGAGGAAATTTAAAAAGCGAGGTTCACAGAGAGTATGAGAAAAGTACAGAGCCTGGGAAATCTTAGTCTGCCTAAAAATTAATTGTGGGCTTTGCACAACTAAACCTATGTGTATGCAGAGATAAAAACTGGAAGCAGTGTACATTTAAGTGCTGCTATCATGCTAAAGAACCAGGGGTAACATTCATTTCAACAGTATTTTTGTTTCATCAGTCAGGACTTGCTTAATTCTGTCTAGGAAATACTAGGCCAGACCAAGCCATAATAGAGCAGCAGCAATGCATGCAGAGCAGTGACTTTCTCCAGGTCAACACGTTCCAGGGAAACAGCTGAGTTAGAAATGTATGTGGTATTTGACAAAAACACCACTATGGGTTCTGTGGGGTCTGGTTTGGGGGGTAGGGCCACGTCCTGTCCCCTCAGTGCCAGCACAAGGAGTCACAAGTGCGTGGATCTGGGGTAGCACTAAGCAGAGTCTGGTACAGGAGCAAGCAAATGACAACTGAAGTCCTTAGTCCAGTTTTCTCCTCACATAAACCTTTTGTTCACAGGTCTTACCCTGAGTAAGTTGCCTTCAGCACAGAGGAGATGACTGTGGTGTCAGAGCACAGCACTGCTCCCTCCTGGCTGCCAGCCCCTGCAGTGGCCTCAGCTGGCATTGGGGCCAGCAGGATTCCAGCCCCAGGAAAGTGAGTGGGATCCTCACTTCCCATCGTGACACAAACACTGGCATGTGACACCAGTGCTCACTCACCAGAGGCCCCATCCCCTCCACCACGTGCTGCACTAAGGACAACGCTGCAACTCTTCCAGCCCTTGAATCCCAACAGGTCTTTCATTCCACCTGATTTACAGAGCAAAAAACTTTGCTCAAGGGTGAGGCTCTCACGTCTACCCAACAACAGCCATTTTGCTAACCTTCCCCAAAAGCTTCTATTAATTCCATGGATAGTCTGGAGAACTAAGGAAAGAATCAAGTCTTTTTGACTTTATTTCTTTTTTCATTACACCTAATTCCCTGTCTCTCAAAATCTCCTCTGTGCCTGAAGTCAATCTTTTCTGAGTAAAACCAAAGTCTTTTATTACAGGAGAAGCCACTCCTGAGAAGAGGGTAAAGCTTGGTTTGTAACTAATTTAAGCCTAATTCAAAATTACTACAGGAACCCTCTTAGCCACAAGCTTTGAGGCAGACAACAGAGCCCACTCCAGCTCACACACCTGCGACTTCAGCAGAATCAAAGTGATGCCAGCAAGGAACTTGGACCATGAGTTTATAAAACTATTCTTTTACACAGTTGATTCCAGAAGCTTCACCAGCTGGAAGGGGGACAGTGTGATGTAAAACCTGATGATCCCATCCAACTGTAGTGAGCAAGGCATCATCTGAAGGAGACCAGGACAAGCCTTTTACAAAGTCTCGATGAGATCGGTTTCTGAACCTGGAAAACACCAACACTCCATCAGCCATCAGCAGAGAGTATGTGGGCTTGGCCATCCCTAACTGCTGGTTTGTGAGGATGCTGCTCCTCTATTTAGGAACATTTTCACCTCCAGGTTGCCCAGAGAAACTGTGGCTGCCCCTGCCCTAGAAGTGCCCAAGGCCAGGCTGGACACTGGGGCTTGGAGCCACCTGGGATAGTGGAAGGTGTCCCTGCCCATGGCAGGGGGTGCAATGAATGATCTTTAAGGTTTCTTCCACCCCAAATCATCCTGTGTACTAATAATTAACTCAAGAAGACAAGAAAACAGCAATGAGTACATTCTATCTGTACTTACACCTCTGAGAGGTCTGAGTCGAGAACAGCAACTGAACAGTCTTCACTGATGGAAGCCAGTAAGGGTGAACTAGAAAGAGATGAGAGCACAATTAGAAGAAGCAAATGCATGAATTTTTAAGGATAAACTTGTGGACAGCAGGGTTCTTAGTGATCCTGACCCAGGTACAGCAAATTAACTCACAAAAAATCTTACAGAAGATGTTTTCACCAGCATTTGGCAGGGTGACAGTTTACTCTATTCTCTGCTACAATCTCCTTGGTAAGAAGGCACTCTCATAGGTTTTACTCAAAAATAACTAAAGCTTTTAAGGGGATGCAGTCCCACTTTCTGTCCAGAATCATTCATACCTGTGTGCAGAGAAAGCAAAGCCTGTGATGGCTCGGGTGTGCACAGCAGTGCTCAGGGCAGAGTCAGGATTCTTTGTGTCCACCAGTGCAACTGTTCCACTTTCATCACCTGGGAGAGAGGGAGATTGAAGTTACAGCAAAAACTGTCCTGTGAGAATAAAGGCCTTGATTTGGCAGGTGAGAGACCAGATTCTTACCCAAGACAAAGATGTCACTTTTCTGTGGATGCCACATGACTGAGGTAGGGAGGTAATTACAGGCACTGCAAACTGTGAGGGAAGGAACTGGGGTGAGTGTGGAAAGAGGCAGCACAAAGACACTCCTCATCTATCTCACCTACTACTGCATCAAGACAAATGCTTTAAGCTTATTGTACTTCTGTGACAGTGTTAGACCTCCTTAGGCTTTAACAAACACATCACTAGATTTGGAGTTAGAAGTCAGGCATAAAAGAATTTATTTCTTCCAACACAAACTCATGCAGAAGCAGTGGCTGCACACAGAGACATACCAATTCGGGTAGCTGGTTTGGGGCATCTGGTGTCCCAGAGTAAAATTCTGTTGTCCTATAAATCCAAAAGGAATGAGAAGAATTTTACAATTTCTTTGTGGCATAAATTCAGATTCACTGCTGACTCACAGGCAAAATGACCCTGCCTTTTCCTCTGGGTTAAAATGATGCTGTCTTTAAGTGCAGCCTTCAGTCATCCCCAGGACAGAACTAGGAGCTCCCAAAATTTGATACAAACCTGTAGGAATCAGCGTGGTAAACTGATTATAAACTTATCAAACTAACTTACCACTTAAAACTAAACTTATCATTGCAATAATACAGGCAGGCAGGTTGCAACACAAGAGGTGGTTTCTGAGTGCATTAAACTGTAAATACTTAAAGTTAAATCTTATTTTAACAGGGCAGATTTAGACAATAGAGTGAGCTTTACCTCAGCACAGGACAGGAACACAGTGTCCTTACCAGGACAGGAAGCCACACATGTCACTGCATCGGAGTGAGCTACCAAAAGCACAAAAGGATAAAGATGCTCAAAGATTGTATCCAACTTTCCCCCATATTCCCAAGGGCCTCCAGAGGCACAGCAGTTTAACAGTTATGCCCAGACACGGGATAACTTCTGCTCAGCAGCAGCCAACTGCTTCCTACCAAAGTGATGAGTGCCCAATCCAAGCATGGCCACAAGTCCTTGTGCCGGCCCTGAGCTTGAGGGAGCCAGACAAGGGGTTGGGGGAAAGGGTGAAAATGGGATGTAAAGGGACTTATAAAAATGAGAGAGAGGGGTGGGTTGGCACTCACCTCTGTAGGAGTGCAGCACCGTTTGCTCCGGGATGTCCCAGACCTTCACGCTGGGGACAAGAGGGAGCAGTGAGTGCCCAGCACAGCCCGGGCACACGGCTGCCAGGCTGGGGACACTCACCAGAAATCCCTGCCCCCGCTGACAGCCTGGGTGCTGCCAGCCAGGACAGACACTGATGTCACGATGTCATCGTGCTCGTATTTACAGAACTTATTCACGATGAGGCTCTCATTCTCCTCCAGCTCCCAGAGCTCCACGGCACCTGTGGGATGCAGGAAACACCCAGCTCAGTGAGAGGGACACCCACCTTTGAGATGGGAAGGAGGAGGAGAGAATGGGGGAAACTCAGCTCAGTGAGAGGGGCACCCACCTTTGAGATGGGGAGGGGACGGAGGGAATGGGGGGGCACCCGCCTTTGAGATGGGGAGGGGAAGGAGGGAATGGGGGGCACCCGCCTTTGAGATGGGGAGGGGAAGGAGGGAATGGGGGGCACCCACCCCAGCGGAGGAGATGGCACCCAGCCCGGCGGGAGAGGGGACAGACGCACCCCAGCGAAGGATGCGGGACATCCTCATCGCTTACCGGAGTCGGAGGCCACCAGGATGCCCCTGTCCGCCAGCCAGCACACGTCGGCGACCCCCGCCTCGGTCTGCACGCCGGCGGTGCAGAAGCCCTCGCTGGGGGCGCGCCGGGGCTCCGCGAACACCCACAGCGAGCCGGTCCAGCATCGCCCGTTCAGCCCGGAGACGCCGAGCAGCAGGGCCCCGTCTGCGGGAGAGACACGAGGGGAGGCGCGGGGAGCAGCGCGGGGAGCCCTCAGGGAGCGCCCGAGGGTCCCGGGCCCCGGCGAGCCCCCCGCGCCGCCGCCCCGCTACCTGCGCGGTAGTGCGCGCGCTCCAGGTGCCGCTCCATGCAGGCGGGCGCGTTGGGCGGGATGTTCCACTCGGGGGCGGCCTCGGCCTCGGGCTCCCCATCCAGCGAGGCCGCGGGCGCCGCGGTGTCGGGCGGGGCGGGCGGCGGGGCCGCCTGGGGCAGCGGCAGCGGCGGCGGCAGCGGCTCCTCCATGGCGGCGGCGGCGGGGCCGGCGGCGCCCCCACGTGTCTCCCGCCGCCGCCTGCTCTCGCGAGAGCGCCCGCCCTGCGCCCGCCTTCCCCACGCTCTCGCGAGAGCGCGCCGCCATCTCAGCGCCCGGCGGCGGCGGTCACCGAGCGGGACGTCACCCCCGACCGGGACACGGCTCCCTGCTCCTCACGGCCCTGCCCCGCCCGCCATGCTGTCCCGCCTCGTCCTGCGCGCCGGTGAGCCGCGGCAGTGCCGCTGCTGGGGGGAGCGGGGTGGCGGGCGGGGGTGCTTGTTGGCCGAGCTCTGCCCTGACGCGCTCTCTGCCCTCTCGTCCCCTCAGCCCCCGCCGCGCTGAGGGCGCTGCCGCCGCCCGTCGCCGTGGGGTGAGTACCGGGGGAGCCCCTCGCACACCGGCCGCGATTTGTGCTTAAACAGCGTTATTCTGCGGTTTTGTTTCTTATTTTCTCATTCATGTTGTGGGAGTATAAAATAGGGACGGTGGGAAGGAACTTCTGGAGGTTATCTAGTCCCACCCACTTCCTGAAAGGAGGTGTGTCCAGCAAATGCCACCTTCTTTGAATCGCGGACTAGTTCGGGTCTGAAAGGACCTCAAAATTCATCCAGTTCCACCGGCTGCCGTGGACAGGGACACCCTCCACTAGCGCAGGTCCAGCCTGCCCTTGGACACTGCCAGGGATGGGGCAGCCAAGCTTTTCTGGGACCCTGTGCCCGAGCCTCACCGGGTACTTACTTATTTAATTGGAAATGTGTTTGACTATTTCTGTCTATTTTTAAATAAGAATAATAATTGGAATGTTCTACTTTTTCACAGGGTGTTGCACACCACAAGACCACTACACACAACTCAGCAGAGTTTGGCTCCTGTGCCACCTCTGCCTGAGAAGGGAGGAGAAGTTCGTCATGGTTTGATCCCTGAGGAGTTTTTCCAGTTTCTCTACCCTAAAACAGGAGTCACAGGTTAATATAGACTTTTACCATTTTTAGTTATGCTTTTGTGGTTCTGTTCACCAGTGCTGGCTGCTGAAAAGGTAAAGTGTTATTGAAAATGAGTGTTTTGCATGTGCAGGTTGTGAAGAGCAAGCCAGTGCAGGACTCCTGGCTCTAGAGTTAGACACCTAATGATTGAAAGAATTCCATGAGCTTGATTTTATAAAAAGATTTAGTTGCCTTCATCCTTAAAACGTATAAACAGGGAATTCTGAATGAGCATGAACGTGTTTCTGAATGAGCAGAAGCAGCAGGTCCCATATCAGGTGCAAGCTACTTTCACTTCTAGTGAGATTCCTTGTGGCACCTTTCCCAGATGGAATTGTGGCTCTGCTTTTTTGTCCTGGTAAAATGGAACACATCTTCTTGACCTTGTGAGCCTTTAAAGGAGTTTCCTCTTAGGTACTTGAGTGTGTTGAGCCTTGTTATGCTTTGTACAAGTAATGGTGCTTTATTTCTTCTGTAGGGCCCTACATGCTGGGCACTGGCCTCCTGCTCTACCTCCTTTCCAAGGAGATCTACGTCATTAACCACGAGACAGCAGCAGCTGCCTGCATACTCACAGTCATCGTTTATGGCATCAAGAAATTTGGGCCTGGTGTCGCAGCTTTTGCTGACAAACTTAATGAGGTAATGAAGGAAATGTAATTGGACTTCGCAGTCGTTAGTAAGGAATGGTTTTGTTGAAGTACAAACTGGCAGAGGGCAGGGTCAGATGGGATGTTGGGAAGGAATTCTTCCCTGTGAGGGGTGGGAAGGCAGAGGTTGCCCAGACAAGCTGTGGCTGCCCCTGGATCCCCAGGAGCGTCCAGAGCCAGGTTGGACATTGGGGCTTGGAGCAGCGTGGCACAATGGAAGGTGTCCCTGCCATGGTAGGGGGTAGGATTGGATGGGATTTAAGTCCCCTTCCAGCTCAAACCATTCTGGGATTCCATGACTGATTGTGGCCCTTCATTCTTCTCTGTTGTCATAACCTCAGCCCTGGCACAGGGCACTTCACACAGATGTTTCTCACAGCTTCAGGCAACATTTCAGGATTAATTGCAGCTCACTTGTTCTCCTTGCATTTGAGTGATTCTGAATCGTGGAGTTCTTTCCTTTTTTCAGGAGAAAATAGCCTCAGCTCTGGCCATGAAGAACGAGGCCATCCAGACGCTGCAGACGGCCATCGAGGAGGAGAAGAAGGAGCAGTGGAGGGCAGAAGGCAGCAGTTACCTCTTCGATGCCAAGAGGGTGAGCAGGGCAGCCCTGCTGGGCTCGGTGCAGGGCAGCCCTGCTGGGCTCTGTGCAGGGCTGCCCTGCTGGGCTCCTGGCACCCTGCCCAGAGCTTGTTCTGCTGCCAGATGTGAACCTCTTGTCTCGTGCTCCTGCAGAACAACATCGCCATGCTGCTGGAAACCAACTACCGGGAGCGCCTGCTGATGGTGTACAACGAGGTGAAGAAGAGGCTGGACTACCAGGTGGCCATGCAGAACCTGAAGCGGCAGAAAGAGCAGGACCACATGATCCAGTGGGTGGAGAAGAATGTTGTTCAGAGCATCACACCTCAGCAGGTACTTGCTGGGTTTGACCTGCTTTTCTTTTCAGCCTGCACAGAGATTTGCTGTTCAGGGATCCTGGCTCGTGAGCTGGTGGGTGACCTTGGCCAGGGGTGGGACTGGGGGAGCTTTGAGGTCCCTTCCAACCCAGACTTTCTGGAATTCCATGAATCTGTGCTTTATTGGATGTGAATCTCTGACTTCATGAGCTATAATGGCATCCCTCTGAATCAGTAACTTAGAGGTCTAAAAAGGTTTATCTAAAATGCACTTGGATGTATATTTTGTGTGTTGAAACATCTCCTGAAGGCCGTTTCCTGTCTCTTGCAGCAGAAGGAAAGCATTGCCAAGTGCATCCTGGACCTGAAGGCGCTGTCCAAGAGCGCCCACGCAGCTGTGTGAGCAGTCTGAGCCCACTGACATGTCCCAATACCTCCTGTTGGAAACTGTATGACTCTAAAATATCATTAAACAGACAAAAAAACTCCTCTGCTGTCTTTCACTAGCAACAGTCCCTGCCTGTTTGTTTCTGAAGTCACTGCATGGTCACACCAACCACTACAGCTGGTTTATGGTGGGGGATGATTTGAAACCACAGTGTGTGAGATCCTGTTGGATTCCCTGGTTGGTCACAAACATTTCCGAGGATACAAAAGAAAGTTGTGGTGCTGAAACTGATCCCTGCATTAGAATTCAGAGTGACAGCAACCCCAGATACTGGCTGTCCTTGTACACATGTTCTAAAATCGGTGATTTGTGCTCCCATTCACCTGGCCCCGTGCTTGGAGGAGCTTTGAATGAATGTTCTTGTTCTCTAAAGCTGCTGGAAACCCCCTTTCACTATAAAGTGTCATGTAGTGCTGAAAGAGTTGGGTTCTGGGAAAAGAATGAGCAGGCAGGAAATGCATCGACAGCTCCTGAAAAAACTTCCCTCAGCTGACTGTGTCAGTACTCAGTTTAAAACAGGGAAATGGGTAAGTTTTTTCCAGAGGAATAAATTCATTTTCTTTTTGTAGGAAGCTTTTCCCTGAAGGAATTTGTTAAAACTCAATAATCCCAGCAAAGCACACACAGGAATAAACTCCTCCTGTGTGATTGATGTAGTCCATAAAGCCGAGTGGGCAGACTGGGGGGTGCCTGCAATCCCATTTCTCAGTGGGGTTAAGAAACAGGGTTTTCTTACACCTCAGTACATCAGTTCACCAAAATGGTGTTCTTTAGAGACAAGAACTTCAAGCCAACCTAAGCTGAAGCTGCCTTACTTTTTTTAGATTAACAGTTCCAGAAAATGCAGGTGTCTTTCATGGTTTCCTGTTTCTTTCAATTTAAATAATGAAAAAGTGAAGTTGCTTAACTTCCACAATTGTGCAAGCCCACATCTGATTGACATCTGAGCTTTTGACTGGTGTGACAGATGCTTCTCACAAAGCAAGTGGTTAAACTCGTGTGCTGACATCTGGGGAGTTTTCCAGCAGCACTTCCATGGTGGGAGGTAAGATGGAGCTGTTTCGTTTCTTGTTTCTTTCATTATTGCAGGCACAGCACCCTGTGAGGTTTGGTGTGGGAAACTGGGAGGTTTCATGGTTTGACTCCTCTGGAATGTGGCAACAATGAGATGCAGTAGGAATAGTGGCAGCAGCAGAGAACAGGGTGTTTATTTTCATGTTGTAATATTTTCACATTATTCACAATCCACAGTTTACAAAGCATGTGGTGAGAAATGCCAGTGGAGGGGTTTTGTAGTAGAATATCAGTAAGAATCTTTAAGATTCCACACCCAAATTTGAGAAGTAAGGTTACTGTTCCTGTTTTGGTGGGAAAAGTCAATTTAACTTAAACAAAAAACACCAAGGGAAGAACTTTTCAAAGCTGCTGCTGATTATATAAATGTTTATAAGGATTTAGCTGCTGCAAAAATCACCCTGTAGGTGCTTTTTAGTTATTAAATATCCTCAATTTTCTGGTGGAGAAGGCACCATGCCTGTCAGGGAGCAGTGAACTCCTGTGCTCAGGAACAAGGCACTGGGAATGGGTTGATGCTGAGGAACTGCCAGGTTTGAGTGGCTTTGTGCCCCTTTTATACATTTCCAAGAAATGGATAAAAACTAAATCAAGTCTTTTGAGTTAGAAGAGGATGGCAGGTTTGTTTTGCTGATCTGTAAATGTATATAAATACAATTCTTTTCCCTTCCTTTCAGTTTCTCTTCGTGTCAGTTAATGCTCTGAGAGAATGGGAGGCTCTTCCTCAAAACCAACTCCAGGTATTTTATTTGTTAAGGAATTTCCTTGGCTGCAGTGTTGCTGTCTGAGGAGATGAGCTGGCCCAGGGGCTGCTGTGGGGGAGGCTCAGCACAGGGGGTGTTTGGGGAAGAACTGCATGGCTGCAGAGGCTGCCTGGCACAGTCACCACCTGAACAGGAGAATTTTCCTGTCTGGTGGTTCTGCTTTGTCAGACAGACCATACAGACACAGCCCTCATGTGGTTCTAGTTCCTTGTAGTACTACTGGAGAGACGTGCACGTCTTAAAACAAGCTGTGATTATTTTTTTTTTTTTTTCTATTGCAGCTACACCAGAACCCATTTCCACTACTACCACTGTCCCCACCACTGTCCACACCCCTACAGCTGATTTCAAAGCTGCAGAAGTCAGATGCTGGATTAATAAGTAAATGCTGCACTGTTTTTTTCCTGATTTCAAACCCAGAGTTCCCTCAGACTGCAGCCTCCTGCAGGGGAAGGGTTATATATCACATATTTAACATCTTGGGGGGTTAAAATTTGGTTAGAATTTCCTTGTCTGTGCACTGGATGGGTGATTGCTACAGATGCTCAGTGCAGATACACGCATTGATCTCATGGGGCTGGGCATAAATATTACAATTCATAAAGTTTGGTGAGTTTGAGCACTACTGATGTTTCAATCCCTCTGTTGAAACTGGGGATTTTGACAGGATTTTCTGTGTATCAACAGCAATGAAATACTGTACCTGTCATTGGCCTTCATCTCTGGCATACTCCTGACTGTCCTGGTTTTTGGAATCATCCTCCTCTTCAGGAAAAGTGAGTGACACAGTCGAGGGCATAACAGCAGAGTCATGGTGACTGCAGGAGTTACTGAGAAAGTGGCTCTGGTAATGTCTGCCTTGAATAACTGTGTTGGTAACAGCTCATCCTTGGCAGTAACTCCTCATGAATCATCCCAGCCGTGTTTTCAGGAAAGAATTCATTTTGCCACTGATGAGTTGTGGGGGTTTTTTGTTGGTTGTGCTTTTCTCGTCCTAACCCTGACCACACTGAATTCCTCAGTCCCTTTCATCCTGGCCACTTCCAACAGGTGGGCAGGCACTGGGTAGCCCAGCCTGGCACTTTGCTGTGCAGGTGTGTCACAGAGGTTACACATCACCTGTCAGTCACCCCTCTCCAGCCTCCCCTGCACTGCTGCCTCCAAGCACAGTGCAAACAGCTGACACTGGGATCCCTTTCCTTCCTAGGTTATAAAAGATCCCACCAAAATTTACAAGAGGAAACTTTCTCCCACGTGCCAGCTGAGGAATATTTTACCCAGGTAAGTGTCACAACTGTAATTCCTAATGCTTTATGCAGATATTTCACATTCTTGATAGTGTGGTAAATACTAATTTGGGGTGGGAGGGAGAAAAGTCACCTTTGAGACTTGACTGTTACTCAGCAGTTCTTTTGACAAGGACCTTCAGGAGTTCTGGGACTTAACTAAACCACTGACTAGGCAGGTTAGGAGAAATTTTTTAAAGGGCAGTTTCCTCTGTGATATTAATTCTTTGGAAGCCCCTAAAGGAGACTCAACCCAGAGCCCTGAGCCACACTGACCAGTGGGATGAATCAGCATTTACCAGTTTCCCCCAAGCAAGGACAGGCTGCTCATGGTGTGTAGTGTTGACGAGTTAGAAGTGGGAAATTCCTGCTGACCTGCAGTGCCTGTGCACTCTCTAATATCTGTGACTTCTCTCACATCCCCAGGATGAAGTGACCTACAGCACTCTGGTCTTCCAGCAAGGCAGGACACCACTGCCTGTGTGATGAGGATGTTCCAAATGAAATAAAAACGTTCCCACTCTCTGGACATGAAAAGCCACGAGGATGTTACACCATGGAAATGCCCCCATGCCCTCTGTAACACAGCTCTTTTTGTAGTTATGATGGGAAACTGTCTCCTGTCCAAACTGGCTGCTACTGGCTGTGGGCAAATGGAGAGTTGCTCTACAGGATTTCCTCATCTGTAGAAATCTCCCTGCTCTTGTAAAGTTTCCGTCTGAGAGAGCTACCAGAGAGTTGAGAAATGAAAATGTTTCTCTGCCTCGATCCACGTCCGTGTCCTTGTGTTTCCCTGTTCTGTCACCAACTCTAACATTTTATATTGTTGTTTTTTTTTTTTAATTGCCAAGTGCTCTGCTTAGTTATTTTCTGTAATTGAAGTGATGATAATGAAATGTTTGTATGCAAATCTCTGCTTCCTGGGTGGGTCCCATAAAAGAAATGCACAATCACAGCGTGACAGCCAAAATTTCTGGAAATGTTCATTCACGTGTTATTACCCACAGCGTTGTAAGTGCAGTGTAAAAATCGTTCCCTTTTCAGGACCGGGGGTGATTTCCCGCGGGTGGCTGTGCCAGAGCAGCGGGAGCAGGGCTGGAGGTGCCACCTGATGGCAGCAGCCAGCCGGGGATGGATGGCACTGCCTGGGCTTCCCCGTGCTGCTGCCGTGCCTCCAGCCGCCCAGCAGGGCTCCAGCTCTGCTCCCTGAATCGGGGCTGTGTCAGCTGTGGTGTGTGGACACACTGTTAGAAAGCCAGAAAAGTTACAACCTGAGGAATATTTCAGGCTGGAGCTTTTCAGCTTCATTCGCAGGCTGATAAACTGGTTCTAGCTTCAGCTGGGGAGAAATTCTCCCAGGAGGATAATCCAGTCAAAACAACATGAAATCTGGTGAAAAACAGCCTGGAATTCACAATAAAATTAACACCTGGTGTTTTCCCATGGGACACATCCTGAGGTACGGTCTCATGGATGTTTTTCCCAATTATCCAGTGAGCTCCTGTCCTGTCTTAGCTCTCAGTAACATGCTTTCAGTACTGGCTGGCTGTTCAATGAAGTTGGTCCATGTGTGGTGCTGTTCTTGCTGTCTGTTTTTTTCTCTCTCTGGTGCAGGAACCACAGTGGTGTAACAATTACTGACACTTCTGTGCCATCCCAGGCAGGACACTGACTGAAACTGGGCAGGTTCCTTTGATTGTCATGGGAGGACTCAGGAGGCCAAAATAATATAAAATCCATCTACTGTTTATTATTACTCATGAAAATGTGACAACACTGGCTGAAGCACAAGCTGACCAGACTGAAGTTTAGTCTGAATGGACAGACAAGACAAACGGTGTGAGAACAGTGAGTGAGCTTATGAGCTGCTGGATTATGAACAGCAAAGAACACATCCTGCTTTTCCATCAACTCAACCAATCCTCATGTTAAAAAACTCAAAACCCCCAACTAGACAAAATTTCCATCTTCTGTGTTTAGGAATTATATTACATGAAGACATATATTCACATACAGCTTTAGAGCAGCTTCAGATCCACAGGTTGCTGCAGTTTCCCAAGAGTTTCTTAGCAAAGCTTTATCAATGCTCTGGTACCCACTGGCAGATGCAACCTTTATTCATGACTGTGGGTCTGTTGTTTGCTCTGTAAGGTCTGGGTCTGGTTTTTTGCACAAGATATAGGTCCTTAAAATTAAAAGGTATGTGGTTTTGAACTTCTTTATCTTGTAGGCATAGATAATGGGGTTCATGGCAGAATTGGCATGGGATAAGAGGATTGCCAAGTAAATCAAATATGGAGGGATCTTAGACTCGGGGTAAAAATAGGAAACACAGTTTATAATGCACAGAGGCAGCCAGGAGATTGCAAACAGGAAGAGAACAAGTGCGAGAGACTTGGCTGTCTTGAACTCCTGGCCATAGAAAGCCCCAGCCCCTCTGACACTGGTCCCTTGGCTGAGCTTTGTGTGGATGATGTAGAAGATCTCAGCATACAGAGCACACATGATGAGCAGGGGCACGAGGGTCCATGTGAAGAAGCAGAAATAAACCATGTAATCCATCCTCATCACGGCGATGAACCGGCACCTCAGGGGGCTGGAGCTCCTGGGCTCTGCCTGGTTCCAGCCAAACATGGGCACGAGCCCTCCCAGCAGGGACAGCGACCAGCACAGCCCCAGGGCCCACCAAACTCTCCTCTCTGTAGTGATTATTTTATATCTGTAGGGGAAGAAATCCCAGGTCGTGTTAAAGAGAAGCGTTTTAAAGTAGTTAAGGATGAACTCTCCTGTTCAGGTACTGCAGGATCACTGTCAGAAAATGAAGCATTAACTTTTTTTTGTGAGGAAATCAAATTTTATCTTGAGACAAGCCCCAACACTTCATTTGTAGCAGTTACTTTGCAGCATCAGGAAGAACTCTGCTTAAGTTCCTTTCTTTAAAATTGGATGTTTAATCTACTTTATTCCTTGTTTCATTATGATCTTAGTTCTCCTCTTGCCAGGATATTGCTTTGCTGCTGTTGGCAGTCCTATCTCATTTCTTGGCTTCCTTGGGTGTACCTTCCTCTTTTTATTTGGTTTATGCCATTTGTAGGGCTAAAATTCATTCCTCAGCTTCATAGGTCCTGTCCCATTATAAAATACAATTTCTTGGATGCTTGAGGTTATGCTTTGCTTTTTTAGCTTGTGTACTTTTCATTTAAATATAAACAGTGAGTGACTTCAGTTAACTCTTGATAAGTTTGTTACTACTTTTGTATTTTCAGCTAATACTAAAAGGAATTTTATTTAAAAGACAAGCTCAGAGAGCTAAAAAAAACCCCACAACACACTCAGCATCCTGTGCAATTAACCAAAGTGCTGAAAATTCAAGTTTGCTCACAGACACATCCTGTGACCATATTCTGATCAGTGATAACCCCTGAGAACACCGAGCTGCTCGTGAGCACCCCCGGGTCTCTGGAAAGTTCATCTCAGGTGGGCTTGGGGCACGAGCATCCACTGCAAGTATTGCAAGGTTAGAGAGGAGGGCAGAGGAGTGGGGCAGCCTCACCTGGTGGGCAGCTTGACCCGCAGGTACCTGTCGATGGCGATGGCCAGCAGGGACAGGATGGAGGCGTTGGTGAACACCACGAGCAGGCAGCACACGAAGAGGCAGCTGTAGGCGGGCATGGCGATGCCCAGGCTCACCACGATGGCCAGGGGCATGACCAGCAGCCCCACGGCGACGTCGGCCAGCGCCAGGGACGCGATGAAATAGAGCGTGGTGTTCTGCAAGGCCTGCAGCCTCACCACCCAGATCACCAGCACGTTGCCCAGCGTGGCAAGCAGGGCCACCAGGCACTCGGTGCCGATGTAGATCCCGTCCAGGCTGCTCAGGGCCAGGCTGCTGTTTGGCATCGTGAGCTGCTGCAGCTGCTCCTGCCCCGGCTGCGGCTGCGGAAGGAAATGTGGGCATCGATGGCCACGTGTGGGACCTGCAGTGGCTGCTGCTCGTCCCAGAGATTGTCCAGCGTCCAAACCTCTGTGCTATTCCATGTCCTCAGCACTCGGGCGGCAAACCAGCTGCAGATATCTCAGCATCCAGGAGCCCTTTCCCTGTCTGGAGACCCCTCCTGAAGCTCACTGCATCCCTTCAGCAGCCTCGAGTCAGCAAAGTGCCCTGGGAAGATGTTTTGAAGGGACAGCGTGGGAAATCTTCCACAGTCCTTCTTATCGGCAACTTATAAAGAAATAATTTTACAGGTTCCTCTTTCAAGCTGTTTTAGAAGCGCAAAAATGTCAACAGCAGTTGGCTGCAAAGCTGCCACTTATCAGTCCAGTTAATCTCTCCAGTCAGTGTCACAACTGAGGCAGCTCAGGGGTTTGGAAGGAAGCTGCATTAAAAACGAAAGGGTCCCGAGTGGAGGTGAGGACAGGGCGAGGTCACTGCTGTCAGCAGCATGGGGAAAACAGACTTGACTTGGGGAAAAAATAATTCCCAATAAAATCAGAGCAGGATAACAAGAAAGAAAACCAAGTTATAAAGGCAGAGGGCAGGTGCTGGAGCAGACACTCATCCTGTGAGAGCGCCCTGAGCCAGCTGGAGCTGGAGGATGGAGCAGCCCCTGTGCAAGGGGCATTCCAGCAGCACTCAGATTCAACAGCTCTGCATCTGCCCATCCTTTTTCCTCCAAAGGCAGGGGCTCTTCTTTGGGGACACTGTGAGGACGCTGTGGGGACGCTGTGGGGACGCTGTGTCCGAGGGCGATGCCACCGAGCCCAGCTGGGGCAGAATGGAGGGGGTTCTGCCCGGCACCCCCTGTTCCCCCAGGTTCCTGCCGGGGCAGGCACAAGGTGTTCTGATGCTCTTCAGGTGCTTCCTCACCAGGCTGCACGTGTTTCCTGTCCTAGCCATGACAGAGCCAGGCTGCTGGGCCGGGTGGCTCCTGTGTCACCACGGCAGGATGAACCTGTGCGCTCCTGCTGTCCCTGCCCCGCATGAGCCCGGGGGTGCTGTGGCTGCTGCATCCCTTCCTCGGGCCCTGCATCCTCACTCGGGGCAGCCGGCCCTTCTCCCAGTGCCCTCGCTCAGCCCCAGGCTCAGGAAACACAGGGCTCGAGGTTTTCACAGCTTGCAAAGCGATTAAACGCTCCCTGAGCGCGGTGTGAGCCCAGCCCGAGGTGCGGCTCAGGAGAGCCCAGCCCTGGCCGTGCCTCCAGCCAAAGGCAGCGAGCAGGAGCAGGAGCAGATTCTGCCTTTGGTGCAGATCAGGATTCCAAGGAGTATTTTTAGGTCCCGTTATTGAGCCGAGCAGCGGCTCCAGGAGCAGCCCGGCCCGGGCAGGTTGGGCTCAGAGTCCCGTGTGGCACAGCCCGGGGATGTCACAGCCAGATGGGGTTAAAGGCTTTGGGATCCCGGTCCCCGAGCTCTTGATGGTTTTGCCATTTAAAGGCTGTGTTCGTTTCTTGGATGGCTCCAGAGAAAGGCTTCCAGCTATTCCCGAGAGATCCTCCTACATCCTGGTGAGATAAGGATCAGGAAGGGAAGGTCTCTGCAATCTCAGCTGCAGCTTTGAGCACAGATTCCCTTTTCACTTTGGGGGTGGAGGGGAGGAGAACAAATTTGCTAGAAAAAAATTATTTCTAAATGACACACAGAAAAAAAATATCCCACAACAATGATCTTATCGTGTGAGTCAACAGCCACGTCTGCTGTGTTCTGGTGGGGCTGTAAAACCCTGGCAGGGAGGGCAGAGCAGGCTCCTCGAGGGCAGCGCTGTGAGCAGAGCCCTGCCTGGTCCCGGCTGTCCCTGAGCCTGTGCTCACACTGTGCCAGGCTGGCCCTGTGCTGCCCTCCTTGCTTTGGGACATCGTGTCCCCTCTTTCCTTACATCCCAGCAGCTCCTGCTCCTGTGCCAGGAGGTGTGGAGGAGTTTTCTTCTCGGTTTCAAAATTTAATGTTTATAGGGAAAAGCCCCAAGCAAGTCATAAACCAAGCGAGTGGTGAGTTCTGTCCTGGCTCTTCCCTGCCTGGGAAGGAAGTGAAAGCAGGGCAGAGAGAGGATGTGAGTGTGGAGCAGAATTACATCTGGTGTGACAGAGCGACTGCGGGCTGGAGAATTCTGAGACAGAATGAGAAGCTGGAGCCTGGTGTGGGGGACAATGTCCTGCTACTGTGCCTCAGTTTCCCCTTCCAAGGTAACGGGGGGTTAATCTGGTCTGCACAGAGCTGAGAAGGGCTGGACAGGAGCAGGACCCTTTTGGTTTCCCTCTGAAACTCCACATTTGGGATTTTTTCACCTGGCCCTCCAATGGGGGCACAGTGATGTTAGAAAATCACTGCTGGTATTTCTCACAGGCATAAACCTGAAGAAACCCCTGAAGAAACACACAGCTGTGCTGAAAGGCAAAGTTCACTGTCCTTAGAATGCAGAGTTGGTTCCAAAGATGATTTCAGCTGCTGTCAAGAGCAAATTGTCAGAGGAGAATCAGCTCTGGAAAGCTCCTCTTCCCTTCCACATCCCATTCCCTGAGCTTGAGCTGTGCTGGGGCTCGGGTTCTCCTGGTGATTCACCAGGACTGCCAGGAGAGGTGCCAGGGCCTCTTGGCTGCTGTCTGCCCTCCAGTGCAGCACGGGCAGAGCCTCAGCCCCAGCCAGCCCTGGATGTTACAGAGAGCAGGGCAGGACAGCAGGGAGCGTGTGGCACCCCTGGCAGGGACTCCTGTCCCTCCTCCCCGCTCCTCTCCCGCTGTCCCCTGCTGGGTGGGGTGGGACAAAACCCTCTCCTGGCTGGGCAGGGACAGTGCCAGGGGCGTCTCCTGCCGGGTGGGCTTCCCCTGTCCCGAGCAGGCTGCCAGCTCCTGCAGCTGCCTTGGGAGGAGCTTTGCTCCTTGTAAGTCCTGGGCTCTGTAAAGCTCCCTGCAGCAGCTGTCTCCTTGTATGGGGATGGCATC